AAGAGACCGCTGTTGTGTACACGGTGATTAACATTCGGATTCCGTAAGAGACAGAGAATTTCTGGACCATCTGATCTGCTCAAGAAGAAATATCCTACACTTAGTTAGATACGTCACTGTATATGTTCAGGATGATTTTATTTATAAGGAACGAAAGTGGATCAAGGATTCTTGGTAGCTCAGACGTCTTTTGCCGTTAAAATGCAATTAGCACAAATATAGTTGAATGCTTAGAAAGGAAAGTGGCGTGTTTTTTTTTTTTTACGCTAACTTTTCATTTGTACGGACTGCCAATTACAAAACTTAATTTCATAAGTTCAACGTTCTAGACTAAAATATATTGGATGAATTTTATTTTGGTTTGTATCGGTTCAAAGTAACCTCAACTTTTTACATACATCTCAAATCGAACTTCTTTTCCCACAGAGAAAGCCATTTTGTCAAAGTATACACTGGAATATTATGTAAATGATTTAAATTTATAGTCTTCTCTTGAAACTTTTTTCATAACGAAATAACATGTAAAAATACTTATTGCCCCAGTATGTAATTTGTCTGTCACTCCGTCACCAGAAGTCTTTAAAGTTTTCACATGTTTGCTTCCTCAGAGTACATTCTTTCACGTTTGTTAACAAGTAATGCGGTAATTTCTCGGAGGTATTTTCGTTTACATAACGTTGGCAGCGTTAATATAAAACATGGTCACACAGTTTCAGCCCCAGAATACTTACTAATACTTAATAAATCCGATAAAAGTGAGACGTATAAAACTTGCATTACGCAACAAAATATGTTCCACTAGTAGACAATCTTTATTTATCTCTACTAAGCTGGATAATCCTCTGAAAACAGCAATTTATCAAAGGCAAGGATGAAAGTGTTTTAATTTTTAATCCTCTGAAGCCGAAGTTCGCATAAATAATATTTTAAGTATTCAGTCCGTACCGCAAAGAAAACATCACACTTCACCATTACAAGGAACTTCTTCCTGCTCGCACTAAAATGACGTAACCCATGAATACGAATATCAGAGTTACTGAGAAAGGTTAAATTAAATTTGGCGTTATGTTTTCCCTCCCTAGAATTCATTCTTTAATGTAATGCGAGAACTTCTAGAAAAATGTGACTTTCTGTGGCAAACTTCGACTTCATTTGTTTTTGGATTACGCACTCAGCTGTGGCACGTCCAATGTGGCGGGGAGGGGAGTCACTTCCGCATTGTGATGGAACAAGCAGGAACATCGAACCCGGTGTCCGTAATACCACAAATTGAACGGAGGCTATACCTCCAAAAAAAAACAAATTTTTACGTAGTACAAAATCCTTCCAACTCGGATATCTTTGTAAATCGACTTGTAATCTACTTTGACGCGGTTTTAAACCAGATAATAACAAAGCATTATCTTATAGATCTAATTAATGACTTTGACTTTCTCATGCTGAGACGTACAGTGTGTCCCAAAAATATGTATACGCAATGTTGACGGATGTAATGGTTGTTTGTATACGTCTTTATGGGACATCTGGTACTTGTTCTTGAATAATTGGCCTGGCTTGTGACTTTCGAATTGCGTTACGTCATCTTACATTCAAGGTAAGCCAAATTTTTTGTAAAACAATGCCCTTACAGTTAAATGGGTCAGAACAGACCGACTGGTTTGTTACGACTACACGAGAAGTAACAGGAATGCAGACGAATGACCTGTCGGACAGGACATGTGACCACAAGTTGTTGTACTACGCCTCTTTTCGACATTAGCGATTGAATTTTTCTTTTCTGTTTGCGTAACTGAACTTTGAAGCAATATTTTGTATTTCTGTAACACGAAGAGCTTTTTTTCTTACCATCCTCGTCTTTAAGTTCGAGCTTTCATCTTGTTTCTTACGTTACTTGACGATTGTTTATCAACTGCGTATTTTACATGTCTAAGAAGTGGAGTATGATTTTTTGAATAATGAGTTTTGAGTAAAATCGGAGTCTTTGCCTGAAATTACTCCCCATCGAAACAATTATTTATCGGGATTGTACCAGTGATTGGGCTGTTTTGAATACTAAAATGAACTTGCGATTTCATAAAAGCCAGGGAATTTTTTTTTGACTGGCTGAGGGACTGTAAGATTATCAAAGACTCTATTTTATTGAGTTATTACTGCTATTATTAATAGCTTCTTTGCTGTTTTCGAGCACTTTGATACATTCCTCCTCATTCTACTACCACCACCGTCATCATTCAGTTCCTTCTAGGACCCGTGCGAACAGCTGAGAGCCGGTGACAAGCGAACGATAACAAATACATACGACAGACAAAACAAGTGAGAACAAAATTGAACTGAATTCATCTGAACGTTGTCTCTGAACAATTTCTCGTATCGACAAAATTTTCGTCAAAAGGAACACCGTTTTTGCTTGAAAATGTTCAAAAAACCTGTTCATGTCATTTTAATCAATGAAGTTACTAGTTATAGGACGGTGTATTAATGCACTTCTCGCACTGAATTCCAGTGACCATGATGAAGTGGCTGATTACTTTGCCCTTGGAAACGTTAATAAGGAATAAAATATTATGTCATGAGAACTGTTACTTAAAGTTCTGTTACCCAGCATCCTGTTCAGTGCACATGTAAGAAGTGGACAAGGTCGGAAATCTGAGCTCCATACCCTAATGCGTGGATTTTTACCTCCACGCCTTTAATGCGTGTGGCTTAGACCCAATGTGAACTTATCAGTTCTAATCAAAACTTAAAAATTAGCTTTTAAAAATAGTACGTAGTACAACAGGTGAGATTTGAGGTTTTCAAGGCTGTGAGTACGAAGATGGCTGTCTTCTGGAATGTTACGCCGTGTAGTCTGGTAGAAATTTCCCGACGTTTCATGGGTGCTTTATGAAGACAGCCATCTTCATAGTCGCCGTCGTGAGAACCTGAAATCTCACTAAATATTTTAGCATTGCATCAATAGCTTCATTTATAAAAAAACAAATTGAGAGAAGGCGCGCAAACTTTCTATCATACAGAGCAGAGCAGAGCTGTAGTAGGCTGGTTTCGCCATGTCACCATTCTGACCTGCATTTCCCATACTGAACCAAAGATGATTATTGTGTAACACATAGCATCTGTGGGTATTAGGACATTTTGCCTTCTAGCGTAGAATGACCGGTCGAAAAAAAATCGGGAATGGACTTTCTGTATTGCAAAGTGACACAATTTATTGCATAATTAACTTTGTAAATCGCATTTAAAGCACAATATTTATAATATTTCTTCATAAGTAAAATTAGACGTGAAATAATCTCCATGGGGGACTGAAACCAATTTTGTTTCTAAGCGCCTTCAAAATAAAGCCGACCGCCTGACTCCGCCGAACCCCACCACAGCAAAGTCAGAACCTAATTTCGACATTTTCTGCAGCGGGCGAACGTCAGACTCATACACTCGAGCATGACGGATATTGGCTTTTATATTAGGAGCAGATTCTACCAATGTCGTTGGATACTGGGAACGACCCGTTCTCCAAGTACCTGAGCACTGCGGGTCCCAACTTTTCGTTGGCTTTGATCTAAAGCCTTTTTGGTAGGACTCCTTGGATGAGGGATCGGCCCGTCGCAAGGCCTCTACCTGTACACAGGACAGCCCAACACAGAAAAACGCGCACAAACATCCATGGCTTGAGTGGGATTCGAACCCACGGTCCCAGCGACCAAGCGGCACAAGGCCCACGCCTCAGACCGCGCGGCCACTTCGGACCCCAATGTCGTCAGAAATATACTAATAGGGGATCTGAATAAAAAACTATTGAATGACATCGGTTGTGTAAGGCTCTTTTAATGTTTTCCTAATATAATTTTTAATTTTCCATAACTAAATATCATGTGAATAATATTTGAAAAGCCACGTCCTACCCCAAAAAATACGATGTCACGTCTTTACTGTGGAAATTGGGCAGTTGAAATTGGTAATAAATCAAACGCAATTTATTATGTAAAGTAAATTAATAAATTAACTTTGTGGGCCGAACAGCTTCTGAGTTTTAAGAATTGAGCCAAAGTTACAATTAGCCTTTAAAGTATTAATGAAATCGTAGGCAGCGGTTAAACGCTGGCCTTGTAATCCTGGGGGGTCTCGGGTTCGATTCCCGGCGGTGCCCGAATTTATAACTTGTGTTGGGCAAGGCCGTGGTCTAGGCAACACGGAGTTTTCCTCCGTGGCATCCCAACAATTACCCCATTCACACACAGAAGAAGGCAATGGCAAACCACTTCTCGATCATCTGCCAAGAACGTATATGAACAAGTCCCAGTCCGAGAAAAGGATGGAAGGATACTGTTCATATGGACCTGTCGTCAGACAGAACACAAAATAAAATAA